AATGCTTGTGCTATACCAACGGTGGTTGTAGATTTTCCTTCACCTAATGGTGTTGGCGTTATGCTATAAATAAGTTTAATAATGTGGTTAATAGTATTAACAGTTAAACTTAATAAAAAATGAAATAACTTGTAATTTCAAAACACACCCTGTTACAATAACATATTTTCCATTTTTTCGTGATTTCAATCTTTCAATAACTGAAAGACTTACTTTGGCTTTGTATTGTCCATATAATTCAATCTAAAAATAAAAATAAAAATTTGATTTAATACATAATTACGTTACGAATTAGTTTCATTATATTAAAAATCCTACTTCATTTGAGGCCAGCCCTAATTCTTTAGCCAGAATTTTAATAGGTTTAGGTGTATGTGAAGTTGCGATATCGATATCGCTTTGAACAGGTACAACCCGTTTCAGTGTCAATGTGGATATCTTGCGTTCGTTACTTTCTTTCAGAAACCTTTTAGCACTTTCTACTGTGTTTTGTAATAACATTGCAACTGTCACCGGAGCTACACCACCAGGAACTGGTGTTATATAAGATGCTACTGCAGAGGCGGATGAAAATTCTACATCGCCTACCCATCGAATGCCCGATTTTTTTGTAGGATCTAATAAAATAGATAAATAATCAGTCAATAAATAATAAAATTATAGATAATAGAATTTTTAAATACCTTTTATCGCATTAGTTCCAACATCGATGACTACAGCACCAGGATTTATCCAATCGCCTTTTATGAATTCGGCTTTTCCAATAGCCACCACTAGGATTTCAGCTGTTTTAACCTAAAGATTAAAATTTTGATCATTGAAAATAATAATTAACATAATTAAATTTTAAATTTTGATGCAAAAGAAGAATGCATACAATCTCGGGAAGGTTGGCCGTCATGGAATGACACAACGTAACCGTAGAATTTCTTTTCAATAATAGTGTAAATGTGGGAAATCCCTTGAAAAAATTCAAATATTTAATAAAGAATTATGGATTACTACTCTATTATCATGTAAATTATATTGATAAAAGGGCAAATTTACCACAATATCACTACGACCAACCACGACGGCGCGCTTGCTTGAAATATTTATTCCTAATGTCGAGATACGTATAATAGTTAACATAAACCCATAACAAATTCATTGTAAATGGTATAATTCATACCAGTTTGATCCAATAATTCTATAATTGCTTTAGGTGTACATGGTAAAAATATAGGATCGTCACGTCTTTTAACCAACCTTCCAATATTATTTGTATGAAATCTATAGTGATTTAATAAAGCTAATCAATAAAATCAAGGTTTATGCTATATAAAAACAAGTATGTAAAAAGATGTAAGATTGGATTACCCATCAACATCTTTTTTTGGATCAATAGATTCAATAACACATCTTTCATCAATATGTTCCGGTAAAGGAAGTTGAACCAACACTCCATGAATCGATGGATCTTGGTTTAGTTCACGAACCAATCTCGAGAGCTGTATGTGATAGCTTTATATTAGTGTGTAACAATTAGGCAGAAAGAAACTAGAGAATTATATAATAAATTAGCACCTCATTCGCGGTAATTGATTCGTCCCTTTTTTGTAAAATAAAATCAATTCCAGCCTGAAAAAAATATCACTCATTTATATCGAACGACGATCGTCGATCACGTGGATTAATTATTGTACGCACGTACCTCTCTAGCGGCTAGTTCTTTCTGTTTCACATATGCTACGGAATCTTCCCTATTTCCAACCTGAACAATCGCAAGTCGAGGCTTAAAGCTAAGGTATTTACTTTTCAATTGATAAACTTCATCGGATATTTTTTTTCGAATGGATCTAAGTTATGTTTTTAGTAAAATTCGCATTGAAAACAAAAGTTCTATTCAGTATTATATCCAATCACGACAATTTATGATATTCGTTATTTACTTTGCGATAGCCTTTCCATCTATTATTTTCGCTGTATTCTTGTATTGATGTAAGAATTTTGGTGCCAATCTATTATATTGATCACGGTTGCAACAATGAAAAAATTCTTAATGATTAGAAAAATTTAAGAAAATGAATTAATTT